CTTTACCCAGCTTCCCCAAACCATGTATAATTTTTAAAACCATGGAAATAACATTGATACAATGTTAACTAATCTACAGACCTTATTCAGACTTTGGCCGCTGTCCACTAATATTGTTTTTCCAGAATAGGACCCAATCCAGGACCCCACATTGCATTTAGTTTTCGTGTCTTAGTCTCCTCTGACGTGGGAGAGTTCATTAGTCTTTCAAACCATGGCGCTGTGAAGAGTACTGGTCAATAATTTTAGAGACTTTGATTGTATCTTTAATGCATTGGGTTTATAAATGCATTACATGTTGAGATAAGAGGATTTTCCTTTGTATCCCAATTATAAACTATTTCTTTCAAAGAACTTCTTTATGTCATTCTCAATTATTAGGACAGTTTTGAATGAATGAGGGAAATGTGACGGTGATTGGCCTTTGTGTAGCATGATAACTTCCCAGCCAGAGGGCCTTTGAGGGTCATCTGGTGGTCCCCTACCCTGGCTTCTCAGATGGCAGCATCGTGGTCTGCATGTCTTAGCTCCTGGTCCTTTGTTCTTTCTACTTCATCATCCTACTGGCCTGCAAGGCCAATGAACAGCCATTCAAAATATTTATTCACTTTACCACTGTTAGTTATTTTATCATTGAAATTTTGATTAATCAATGACCCCATTGATATTGGTATAAAATTAACTTTGCTTTTCTTTTAAGGTAGACTATTGCATGTAGCTTGTAAAGGGAATTTTGCCTAGCCCATAGTGACTTCTTTTGTGTAGCTATACACCAAATCTCTTTTCAGCAGCTTAGGTAGCAAGGATTCCTTTAGTGCTTAACAGGGATGTTAATATAGCAGATTTTTTTTTTTAGTTGTCTTTGCAGAACTGATCATACTTATCTGTCGGCTCAGCTGCTTCCTGTGCTCTCTTGGATCATGCCATTTGGAAGTTGGTAAACAATGACTCCTTTTGAGGTCATTGACTTTTTTGGGAGGTGGAGTGGGGTGAGGAGTGTATTGACTTCTGAGGTTTTAGGAAAGTTGATACTTTACTAACTCCTTACTATCTTAAGGGAAGGCTTTATGAAAGCTTATATATATATGCACTAGAGGCCCGATGCATGAAGATTCATGCAAGAATAAGCCTTCCTTCCCCTGACTGCCGGCACTGACTTCGCTCCAGCTGGAGCCGCCTTCCGCCTCTCGCCTTGTCGCATCAATTTGCATATTCCCTCCTTATTGGCTATGGGTGTCACCATCTTTGTCGCAGAGTTACAGTCAATTTGCATATTCTATCTTTATTAGATAGGCTTTTCCCCCCTCCTATAAATAGGAAAGGTAAATACTATATCTTCATGAAGCTCCTCTCACACGTGTATTGAGTGTTTTTCCTGTAATTAGATGGACTCAATTTCTTGGCCACTCACTTTCATAGCTGTGTGTTTGTTTTCATGTATATTTTGCTTTTACCCAGTATTTTGCAAGTTTTCGGCCTCTTACCTTTTAATATGTAAAAAATAAATGAAAGCAAGGTTTTTATGCCAATGTGGGAGAGTCTACATTTTACTCTTGTTAGATGTTACAGACATGTAATGCATACAGTGATTATTTGCAATAGATCGGTATCTTGGGGAAAGGAGTTAGTTTATTCATTCTGTGAAGAAAGTGAAAATCCTAAGTTCAAAATGAAGTTAAATATACCTTAAAAAATCTCTTAAGTCACCCAGAAAATATGGCATGCATGGCGAAGGTGCACAGGCCCATGCAGTAATTCTTATGCCACTGCAGTTTGTGATCCCCTGAGCCAAGTCCAAGGGTGGCAGGGTTTTGGGAAGAGATCTGGGTCATCAGGCCACTGTGCTTTCATGAGAGTTCCTAGTGTGGAGGGGGGACTGGAAAATCCAAGCCTGGCCTTGCTGTGTGCAGGTTTTACACCATTCCATTGTGCTTTTAACACGAAAACTCCTTATCTTGACACTTGTTAATAGGTTTACTGTTTTGGAGGTGACTAAATGAGATAGTACATACAGGAGTCTCTAATGCAGCACCCTGCAGTGCCACAGTCGATGCTCAGTAAGTCTTCAGTGGGCTGCTGCTGACCTAGCTCAATCCATTCCACTGTCGCCTCTCTGAGCAGCTTTCCCTCTCTCAACCCCTTGTCTGACTTCAGATCCATTTCTGTGAATTAAATCATGAATAGTCAAGTTACCACAAGATGATGTCAGATTATTTCAAGTAATGCCAGGTAGGGGGAGCCTCAGCACAATAAATCCTTACTTTTAAACAAGTTCAAACACTTGCCTTTTATGTCATGGTATTTAGCTGTTGTAAACAAACCTCTGATTTTTTCCCCATTCTCGTCTGGAAACGTGAGGCTCATGACTATCCAACTCCAAAAGCAGTTGCATAGGAAAATGACTCGACTCTTGCAGATGATTTTACTGGAATGAATAGTTCAGGATCTTTTGTGTTTGGTTAATAAAACTTCCATTTTACTTTTGTTATTCACAAGCATTATCTAATGGGTGACCACTTATTTATTTTACAGTGGCTTCTCTCCACAATTTTTATTCCCCTCTTATTCCTTAGTCTGATTTATTTTATATATATATATATATATATATATATATATATATATCCTTTGTTCTCCCAACTAACATGTGAACTCTCTAAGTGGCTACAATTTTGTTTATTTTATTACTATATTCTCAGTGTCTGGAACAATGCCTGGCATGGCAGTTACTTAAAAAACATTTGAATGAAGAATAAATAGAGTTTTCACTATTATTTAAACTGAAACCCTTTGACTTAATAAACAAATATAAGAATTATGTAAAAGTGTGATGTTTCTGAGTTTATTATACTCTTTAGGAATTTCCCTGATAACTAAGTGAAGTAATAAGGACTGAAAACTTTGATCACTGCCCTTCTCTAGTGATCACATGTGCAATCTCTTTCATAATTTAGTTCAGTAATCTTCCTACAACTTACATTGTATGTACAATATTTGGTCAGGACATACTGATGAGTAAAAAATGAGCAAACTAGGACTGTAGTAAAGGAAGTACTCTCACTTTACATTGGTGTGAAAGTTCTAGCACACACACACACACACACACACAATTCAGAGCATCTGTGTATCTCAGATATTGCCTTTGCTTCACGGGTGTTGTGTAGGTGAGGTGAGGCCCCTGAATGAGGAACAGAACAGCTAAACCCAAACATTATCTTCAGGAAATACTGAAGGCTAAATTTTGAGAAAGCAGTCATCATAATTTTGAGCATTTTCTTCCCAGAGCAAAAATTAATGAAAGAATGAATAACTAAGTCATTTTTGATTAGTTATCAGGATTATAGTTGCCAGGATGGAAGTGTGAATGACAGTGTGTGGCACCGGGCATGACGAGGTGTGAGGCTGCTGAGGACTAGGATTGCTTTTCTCAGATTGGTTCCCAAACAAGAAGTAAGCTGTAGTGTTCAAACTGATCGCTGAGGTCAGTCAGGGTTATCTGCCAAATCATTCCTTCATTCAGCGAATATTTATTGAGTGTCCACTGACGCCAGACACTGTGCAGGTGGTAGAGATGCAGGCGTGGCCGGGACAGACCATGTTCCCGCTCTCTCAGCCTCTGTTCTAATCCAGTGTCCTTTGGGGCCGCAGGTATTAAAGAATGTCTGAAGGTGAAGGACTTTTTCGATAAAGTCAAAATCAGTCAATGAGCCTCTTACACACACACACACACACACACACACACACACACACACCCATGCACACTCACAAGCACGCACGCACCCAGCTGTGCATGGTGGGGGAGACCCACACTCACTGCGTTTTGCCTACTCTTTCCTGAGGTTCAGAAGACGTATAGTCCCAAGTTTGCTGGGTGGAGGACCCTCTTCTTTTGCCCTCCAGCCTCTTTGCTGCTCTCACCTCCCCCTTATGATGTCTTGGATAAGACTTCCTGTACTTTTCTTTTCAGATTTGGTCACATGATAAAGCAGTAAACCTCTGGGAAAAGAGTCCAAGGGGTGCTCAGCAGGCCTGAGTCAGCAGCCAACCTGTCCTGTGGCTTTGAGTCACTTCGCTCCCTAAGTCTCTCCTTTTACATCTGAGCAATGGAAAGGGTTGGATTTGAGTAACTCATTTGGGTGTAGGTTAAGTGGACATGGACATTGATGGCAACAGAGCATCTGTGGGTACATTACAGCCTTGGTGCTCATTAGCAGGCTGATTTTGAGAAAATTACTGACTTTATCCAAGTCTTGATTCTTACTTGTGAAAGGGGAAAAACAGCATGTATGTCATGGGATAGGTTTGAGAATTAAACTGAAAATATATACACTGCCTAGGACAAAAATGGTAGCTACTAGCAGCCTTATTGTATCCAAACTGTCCTTCAGGGGAATGTAGTCCATCAGTAAACTGTTTATTGAGGACCTGGCATAGATCACTCCTAGGATTATGTTCCTGTGATGCTAATCCAGCTACCAGGCAATGGAATAGGACAGTAGTGAAGGAATTCACTCCGTGTTAGGCCTGGTTGAATTCCCTGGCTCTCCACGCACTAGCTGGTGACCTTAAGCTCTTTGACCTTTATTCGGTTTCCATTTCTGAAAGGTGGGATAGTGATATCAGAGAACCAAGTCACAACAAAGAGGCTGCTAGGGGATTGAAACAAGACTGTGCAAGTAAAGCCTTTAGCACTGTGGCTGGTACAAAGAACACTCTTGATTTAAGGCTGTTTCAATATTGCTAGTATTAATTATTGATTAGCTTAACCTAACCTCCTCCTCTGCACCCAGGGCTAGGTTGGGTCTAAGAAAGCTTCCTCCTAGCTGTTTTTAGCCTCTCACTTACCTGGGCTGAAGTAGTAAAATGAAGGCCCTTGATTGAAAACGGGCCTTAGACATTGCTTGGAGAATATTTACTGTTCCCGCGCATAACTGTGGTTACTATGGAAGAGTTCACCTTGGTGAAAGATGGATGCTAATTCTTCTCTATGTGCTTTCTTTTAGTATCCCAACCCCATGGATAAAAATGTCATCGCGGTAAACACTGTGGAGGAAAAAAGAGGTAAGTTCTCTGAATTTACGTCACTTCATTGATCCTGATTTTTGTAAAGATGTGTGTTTGTTTGTGGTGTGTGTATAGCCTGTTACGTTTTAAACAGATGTAATTCTAAATTTGAGGTGCCTGAGAGAAGAGAGCACTGAGCACTTCTAGCAGTAGAAGGCTTGCCTACTATGCTCTTGCCACTTTCTCAGTTAATAATTCATTGATGACAATTATAACAGCTAACATTTTTGAGCACTTAATATGTGCCAGCCACATTTTCTTTTATTAACTCATGTAATCTTCAAAACAATGTATGGGATAGGTATTATGGTTACTTCTGTTTAATGAATGAAGAAACCAAGGTAGAGAGAGAGAAATAACTTGTCCAAGTTTGCATGATTATATCCTGTAACATATTCATATATCATTTTAGAGATGGCAGATGGTTAATAGCATGTGTGTGAGATGTGACTGTAAAGTGATCGGTTATGGTGCCATAATTGTACTTACTGTGTTTCAGTATTGACAAGAGCAAGTGATGATATATTATGCTTGTGTGGCCTGTTGTTGTCAATAAAGTTTTATTGGTACTCAGCCATGCCTGTTTGTTTATATTTTATTTATGGCTGCTTCCTGGTGACAACAGCAGAGTTGAGCTTTTGCAACAGAGACTGTAAGGCTCACAAAACCTGAAACCACCTGGCCCTTTACAGGAAATGTTTACTGACCCTGGACTAGAGTGTAAGAGTCTTTTCTCTGTCCCTCATATCTCCTGTGGAAGCGTTTTCTCTCTCAGTATTTGAACTTGAGACCTGGGCACTGCAGGGAACTATAATGATGGGCACAATCCATCTCTAAACCTTTGGAGACACTCTGCCCCCAATGTGACATGTTCCAGAGCCTTTGGAGTAGACGTATGATGGTACTTTTCATTACATGACGCTGAGGCCTCTGTCCTCGGTGAACAGAAAACAGTCTTTTGCTTGTGAGGTTATTTTCTGCACTTCCACAACTTCTATAAAAATATTAAAAAACACACATTTTCTCAGGTACCAGCTCTCAGTGTGGGAGAAACTTGTTATTTGGCAAGTCCTGATTTCAAGTCCTGATTTTGTTACTATAACCTAACTTCTTGGAGGCTCGGGCTCTTCATCATTCAATGGGAAAATAATAAACCTGCTTTTAGGTTGTTGTGAAGATCAAATGAGAGAACAATGAGCATATTCCAGAGTGGCAAAGCAACATTAATTATAATTTCCACCATCGACCAGGGCATCTTTGCCTGTAGGAGTGGCTAATCCATTTCAGTACGTGTGCTGCAAACATTGGATGAGATGGCAGGAGGAGTGCTGATCGGCAGAGAAGACAAATCAGTCTCTTATCCTGTCAACAGCTTCCCCTCAGAAGCTTGTTTGCACCAAGGTTCAGGGCTCCTGTAGCCAGAGCCGTGGGAAACCTCCTAGGAGTGTGGCCTGGTCACGGGAATTCACAGCGCAAACGACAATGCTGCTAAGTTTATCTTTTTCTCTAACTTTTTCTGAACTCACATTTATTGAGTGGTTTCATTCTTTCTTTTCATTTCATTTCTTTCTTTCTTTTTTTTTTTTTTTACATTCCTGGGGTTCTGGAAACTTTCTTCTAAAACAGTAGTTCCAGTCTCGGGGAGTCTGCTCCCCTTTGAGAGAAAGGTATGCTGAATAAAATTAATTATAAGTTTAAATTTTGTAGCCAGAAATCTGGGCTTGAAAACATGTTTGGTGCAGAAGATGGTAGAATTAGATTCTCCATTTTTTTTTTTTTTTGTTAAACTATTCTCTTTGTTGGAGTTGAGCAGGGGACTCACTGGCCATTGTCATTGGAGTGTTGACATTGATAGTTCACAGCAGTGAACAATTTGTGATCTTTTATCCTTGACGCTTTAGAATGTGCACTTGTAAGTAGCTATTTACACATATTCCTTGATCACAGATAAGTGTACATATTTGGAATGATTTGGCCCAGAAAAGTGGTCAGAGACCCTAAGTTTTGAGTTAAATGTTTTGTTTGTTTTTTAAATTCTACATATAGGAAATGGAGATAGACATTCAAAGTTTTATTGATCATAAGACAAGCATACATTTCCTTAAATATTCTTTTGAGTGTAAAATTTTTCTGTTTCTAGATGTGTCAACAGGGATCATCTATAGAAAGAGGATTGCAATCTGTCGGAATGTGGTTCCAGAAATTTTAAGGAAGGTAAATTCATTTCAAAACGTTAGTAGCTTTGGTGTAACAGTGGGTAATTTTATAATAGTCATGAAAAGAGCATTTTCTGATGGAACGGAGCGTTAGAACTTTTCCGGTTCTCTTGCCTCATCGCCCTTCAGAGAAAGAAAGGTCTGTTATATCCAGCTTCAGTTTTTACCTCCTTTTCATGGACCCCTGAGGGCCTGCTGCCTGGAGCCATTTTCACTACCCTAGAAACCAGTCTGAGGTCAGGCATGAGAAATAATGCTTAAAAAAAAGATTTTTTATTGGTTTCATAGAGAAAGCAAGGAAGAGGGAGGGAGAGAGAAACATTGACGTGAGAGCAAAACATTGACTGGCTGGCTGCCTCCTGCACGCTCCCTGCAGGAGATTGAGACTGCAACCTGGGCATGTGCCCCAACCTGGAATCTCACCAGCCACCTTTCAGTGCATGGGATCACACCCAACCAACCGAGCCAAACCAGCCAGGGCCAGCCTCAGTTTTGGCAGATGCCCCTGGAGATAGTTTTTTTCCTGTCTAGTTCTGTGTTTTTCTCTTTTGTGGATGACTCTTAGTGGACATAGAGCTGGTCTGCACTTATTTTAAAGATACCTCGGACATTTGACATCAAGTGACCATCTTTCCTTATCTGTCCATGGTTAGCTGTGACTCTTCAGTAAGAGTGATCACAGGTGGGCAGACGGTAGATATGCTGTCAGATCTTTAGTGGGAGAGGAAAAAGCTTCAGTTCTGCTTCACTCTCAGGGAGGATCGTTATTCCAGGGAGCAGATGCTCTCGGTGCTCTCCGTAAGCCTTTTTGTGTATGTTTCTGTAAAGTGATGGTGTTGATGATGAAATCTTCATGATAGCAAATTGTTTTCTCTCCTTGAAATCCTTCAGCACACTGGTGATTGTTGGAATAAAAGGTAAGTGGAGATTTAAATCACATTGCTTGAACTGTAGAGAAATTAGCGACAAGAGCCTTTTTAGAACCATTAGGAAATACGAGGAGAGCATCCTGATTCACAGTTTCAGAAGCGTCTCAGATGGTGGTTTCAGCCCGGAAGTGATTCTGCGTGTGACGTGGAGCCCAGCTGGGCTCCTGCCCACGAGCTTGGAAATGCCATCGCTGTGCCATCTGCAGGAAAAATGGCGGCTTCTATCACTTCTGTCACATTCTTTAGTGGAAAGAAGGGTGATATGACAATGAAAATGAGCTTTCTTTTATTTTCCAGGTGGTAAAATGTGTTGCAATTTGTGCAGCAAATTCTTACTAGCTTTTTCCGCCAAGTGCGTGCCCTGCCTGCCTTTGACCTATATACATGCTTTGAATCTATTATTTAAAAAGGCATTCAACTTTGTGTTGTATCTCAATTCTTAAATAATTTAAGGACACCTCTAACTTGTACCGTTTTGCCTTTGCAGTTTTCCATGTCTCCTCCACCTAGGAAAGCATACATTTCTAGGTATAGACAGAGTTTAAAATGAAGAAAATATTTTACCTGATATCGTCCTGTACGTAAGCCCATAGTGGGCCCAGTTAGAATCCGTCAATTTAAGAAGGCCATAACCAGCCCTAGAGGAGACGCGGAGGAGGGTGATAATTTGCTTAGTGCTTAGCAGTTAGGGAAATCAGGCCAAGGACTGAACGGCCTGCATAAATCCCGGGCCATTTGCACATCCTCACCAGCACTTAGTAAGGTCATAGTATGTTTGATTATCAAGGACTTATAGCCACATATTAGGATCATTTCTCCTTTTAATTGTCCAAGACTGAGAGCACTTCTGGGTGCAGTCTTTATGTAGCCTGCTCTTCCGAAATTGAGAAAGCTGTCCTCCCTCGGTTGAACAGGTGAGCATTTTAAAGATACCCAATATCCAGTTAGAAGAGGAATCATGGCTCAATCCCCAGAAAAGAAGCATGGCTATCCAGAGTCACTGCCTTACGTGGACACAGTATGCATCCATGAAGGAAGAGTCTGTCTTCCAAGAAAGTATGGAAAATCCAAATTGGTAAGATCTCCTCTGTGTGTGTTTGCATGTGTTTGCGTGTGTATGTGTGTGTGTGTGTACATGTAGGTTGGGTGCAGGGATGCACAAATGAACACATGTATTAAAAAGCTATAATGTACACTTATAACCTATATGATCTTATTAACCAATGTCACCCCAATAAATTTAATAAAAAGCACCTATGATTTCATACTTATAACCTCTGTTTACTTCTCACATAAATTATACATTAATTTTTAATCACATAGGTAATTAATGAGTAGATTTCCCTATGGAGGGAAAACGGCAGAGCTCACCTCCTTTCTGGCCACCCTGTTCAATCCTGGTGTCTCTGCCTTCTCCAGAGGCACTGAGTGTCATCACTGAGCTGAGTATTTTTCTAGACTTTGAAGAGATCCCTTCAGGTACCTACCTGTGTACTCACAAAGCCTGCATAGTATGGTCTCATATATCTGCCTTTACATACATGCTTTCATTCTGTGTGAACCATTGTGCCCTTATCTTTTTTGCTTAATTAGAATATTTCTAAACTTTATCCATAACATATAAATATATACGTATATACATGCCATATTCCTTTGAACTATTGTGTCAACTTCCACCTTATGATTACACTGTATTCTATTTAGCTTTTTCCTTTTTGACAGATGTTCTGGTGGTTTCCAGTTTTCTTTATTATAAACAGTACTGCAGTATTGGTAAGGCATATGATCCTCATAAATGCCATATGTGAATGTTTCTCTAAAGGAGAAATTTTAATTCTCAGGTTTATTGAGATATTATTTACATATAATAAAATTTATTCTTGCCCTGGCTGGTTTGGCTCAGTGATTAAAGTGTTGGCCTGTGGACTGAAGGGTCATGGGGTTTGATTCCCAGCCAAGGGGGCATGCACCTCGGTTGCAGGTTCGCTACCTGGCCCTGGTCGGGGCATATGTGGGGGCAACCAAATGATCTTCCTTCCTTCCTTCCTTCCTTCTTTCCTTCCTCCTTCCTTCCTTCCTTCCTTCCGTCCTTCCTTCCTGCCTTCCTTCCTGCCTTCCTTCCTCACTCCTCCCTCCCTCCTCCCTCCCTCCCTCCCTTTGCTCTCCTCTCTCTCTCTCTCTCTCTCCTCTCTCTCGCTCTCTCCTTCTCCTCCTCCTCCTCCCTCATCTCTCTCCCCCTCCCCTCCCTCCCCTCCCCTCCCCTCCCCCCCCCCTCCCCCTTCTCCTTCCTTTTCCTCCCCTTCCTCCCTCCTCCCTCCTCCTCCTCCTCCTCCTCCTCCTCCTCCTCCTCCTCCTCCTCCTCCTCCTCCTTCTCCTTCCTTCTCCTTCTCCTTCTCCTTCCACTCGGTCTGAAAATCAATGGAAGGGATATCCTGAAACAAAAGGATTGCATGGGAGGGAGGAGCACCTGGATAAAAATAATTGGAATATACTTGCGAGGAAGAGGTACTACACACCTTTTCCCTCTTCACCTTGGTGCCCATTGTTTTTGTCATGCTTTGGAAGCAATAGAAATTTACCAATGCAAATGAATACAGGGATCTCTCTATCCATGAGAGGCCTCCCATGGGATAAGAGCCAGGAACTGGAAAGCTAGCAGGAACAAAGGCAGCCTCATGGTCTCTTGTCTTTCTATACCTGGCTCAATTGTCTAACAGTCTGCAGCCTGCTTTATTCCCACAGCCCACCTAGCTCCTCTAGACTTCTACAGATTCTCATCCGATGCCACAGTAACTGGCTAGGTCTTGGGTAGAATCCCACCTCTGAACTATAATTATATGCCTTTGCACAATTTACTCCACTTCTCTAAGCCTCAGTTTCCTCATCAGTATGAAAGGGATAATATCCCTACCTCCAAGGGTTGCTGTGACAGTCAAATGAGAGTAGTCAATAAATGTTACTGTCTAGTATTACTACCTTTATTGTTGCTGTTATCAGAATCTTAAAAATCCACCTGAGTCTCATCTTTAGCATGTATTGTCTTACTGTTTATAATTGTTTCCATTAGGCTGCAGGAAGATGCTGTGTGTTGTGACTTTGAGTTTCTTCAGCGCACCATCTCGGGGAAAAGAGCTCCTCAATCCAAGAGGCATGGTGGGGAGGGACCCTTCCATTTTAGGTTCAGCGTGAGATTTGAGCACTGGAGGGACAGCATCCAGAGTGAATGCAAGCGTTTAGCAGGGACCAAATCCCCTGTGTTCTGGTTTTCTTCCTGGTCCGTGCCGTGACTGTGGCTGCCGTAGACCCAGGGGCATCACGCACGGAGCTCTGAGGAACTACCTGTTTCCGGAGTCAGAGATGTTGGGCCAATGCACGGCTTTCCCTTGGACGCTTGTCCCAAGTCGGAGAGTAGAAATAAAAAAATAAAAAATTGACAGCCAGCTCTTGTAGGAATGCGCTTTATTTAATATGTGGAGCAGGACACAGGCATTTGCTTTTGCTAGTGGAGAATGGAGTACATCGTTTTAATTTCTCAGAAGGCGAAGTCGTGGTTTCTGCCCTCTGAAACCTTACCTTCTGAAATAAGCGTATTCATTTCTTATGATCTGGGGTTTGCTTTCCTTCTTTGAAATATATTTGTTAGTTTCTTATTCTTTTATTAGTTTTTAATGGACTATGTGGGAATATAATGGATATGCATTTGATCTGTCTTTAATAATGGACATTTACCTTATCCAAGTAATGCAATTCTAAAAGATAATCATTTTATAAACGCATTTTCTTGAGCGTTGCTCTTTCACCATAGCTGTTTGGGCTTTTGCGATAAGTAGTAAGGTTTCTCTTATCTGAAGCTGTCACCGCCAGTGGAGACTCACTCTGTTTATGATGTTGTGAGCTGGGGGTTTTGCTTTTGAGTAGCAGAACCACTCTTCCATATTCAGCATTGAGCATTCTAATGCCAATGTCTTCACCTTCCCATGTCTTAAGAATTTCTGCTTATCCATTGTTGCTTACAGATCTGATTTCTGAGATTTCAAAGTGCTCAGCCTAGTAGAGTATGTATTAATCACATCTGATATGTTGATTCAATTTTTGTAAAATATCAAAAAGACATTTCTCCTGAAATACAGTGAAAGAAACAAGCCAAAGTCAAACCTTACACACAGATTAAATGAATGGGATGAGCAACTGTTCTTAGTTCAATGAATTTCCCTTATAATTGAAGTTACTCATATGAATAGTCTTTATTCTAACAAATAAGGTAGGTAACATTTAGAAATTTTTGTTTTTCAACTCCTGGATTAAAACATCCCAAGTTTCGAATTTTCATCTGGTGAATCACAAATAGTATAATGTGCGTGTTTAAAGGGGCTAATTTGGGGCATTTTTCTTTGTGTATCTATTTTTTTTCTTACTCTGAAGTCTTTTATTTGTTTCCAGGAGTAAATTGGACACTTTGTTAACTTTCATGTGTTTAGCACTGGTCTTTTTAGTTGACTGCCAAACCTGCTTTCACTGCGACATGAAAATATTCTGGCTCTGTTAACTTTACTTGAGTATTATTTCTAATCTCTAATCCTGGTGATAAAGAGCTTGAGGGTATAATTATCTAATAGCCTGAGTAAATATCACTGTATTTGTCTCAAAACATGACTCCCTGTGCTCACATCGACCTGGATTCCCAGGCCTTTTCTGTGTAAATATGACATCTGGGCAGGAGCCTTCTTTTTGGCTCAGTAAGACTGCTCTCCAAAAGATACTTGCTTGCCTTTTATGTTTGTGCTCACGTACCAGGTCTCTGTTTTCCCATTCTGCTGTACCTGACCTTCAGTGTGTACCTAGCACTGTACTCGGCTCGTAGAGGAGGCTCCGTGGCCATTTGTTGAATGATTGACGAATGACCATCTGCTCAAGGAGTTACAGATAATGGGCTGAAGTGGGCACGAAGGGAGGGAACGTGAAAAGGGATGGAACCAACAGGTGGGGCAAGAGCAATTGGGGAAAGTCCAATAGGATTTGGTAGGAAATCCGATGTAGAGGGAATCTGGAACCATTCATATGGAGACCTAGTGATGGTGTTGCTGCTTGGATGCTGGCATGCTGTTTGACTCTGGGCAAAAGGGATAAAGCTGGCCGAGCTCCCTCACAGAGTGATGTAAAGGTTTAATAAGATAATAAATGGAGATCTTCCTCACTTGGAGGGTATAAGGCACTAGATAAATGAAAGTTGTTGTTGGAACTAATGGTGAATATAAATGCTGTGTTCAAAGTGGGGTGATTCCTTAAAGTACTAACTTTGAAAAATGGAGTAAGCTGTTTTATTGCAAAGGCTGGTGATGATTGAACTGGAAACAATGATGTTCAGCCAAGAGAGCATTCTGTGCCATTTCCAAGTAAGAGCTTTTGAAATATTTTAGTGAATGCCTCTGGATATTTTTTCATCCTCCTACCCTTTTTTTTTTTGAGTTGTGTATTAATGCAGGGCTCAGGGAGAAGGGTAAGCCTGGAGATAATTCTAGTCCTGTTGGCTTGGGCTGACTCCTGGAAATCACTGTCTTAAAAAAGTCCTCCAGCCCTAGCTAGTTTGGCCCAGTAGGTAGAGCATCAGCCTTCAGACTAAAGTGTCCCAGGTTCGATTCCAGTCAAGAGCACATGCCCAGATTGTGGGCTCGATCCCCAGTAGGGGCTGTGAAGGAGGCAGCCAATCAGTGATTCTCTCTCATCATTGATGTTTCTATCTCTCTCTCCCTCTCCCTTCCTCTCTGAAATCAATATATATATTTTATCCTCAAGTGAGGATAAAAGAAAAAAAAGTCCTCTAGGTAAATCTGTTGAGCAGCTCAGTTTGAAAGCCCCTGATCACCTGTCTGTACCCTGTGGGCACAGGGGTGAGCAAGCATCTAGCTGGCAGCCCTTTTGGAGCTCCCTTCTGTGCAACATTCCTGCCAGTCTCATAAAGCATGAGCAGCTGATCATCTGGCTCTCCAGCAAACAGTGAACACTTTTCAGCAGAAACACCCTGTTAGAAAGTAGCAAAACTCAGATTAGGGTCCTCTTAAATTTATGCAAGAGAGG